GCTTATCACCACCCGCCCCACGCTTGAAGCCTCTCTAGAGCTGCAAAGCCAACTAGCATGCAAGCTGAGTACAGCCCTCTGATCTGGCGTTGCGGTAGTGAATTTTTTGCGCAGTTCTCCATGCGTGATGATAACTTTTGAATGACATTGCACGCCCTGCAACTAGCATGCTTTGTAGGCATCAATTGCACCGATTCAACCACATCTGATCTCCTTGAGACTGAGTTTTTCACTTGCTGTTTGTACGCATGTAATGCCACTGTTGATAAGACCTTAACATGGTTCTGTCACAACCCAGAAACATGCCGCCCCGCACCCCGCACACACACAGCACACTGGACTTTGACAAGGGTTTGTTACTTGGTCATGGTGGGGGAGGATTCCCAGAGGGTTCCCCCTCGGCCTGTGTTGGCCGCGGCTGCCCTGCCACCTGCGCCAAAGGGGCGCCCTGCTCAACCAGCTTCTGAGGGCCGAGCCCCACCTTCTGCTGCCGCCACTCCGCCCACGCAGTGCTCCGCGCGATCTGCTCCGCACGCCGCTGGATCGACGCCTCCCACCGCTCCTGCTTCGCCCGCGACCGCAGCCAAGCCTCCTTCCAGGACTGGTCCGCGAGCTTCATCTGCTTGGCCCAGCCGCGGCAGAACCTGCGCCCGCCCCCACGGCCGGCAAGGTTGGTGAAAAGGGGCAGCGTCAGCCTCCATCCGTGGGCCCCTCAGCGGGTGCCTATGAGATCCCCAGCCTGCTGGCTGGAGAGCCACTGCAGCCGCTCAGCGAGCGCCTCGCCGCCGCGCCCTTGCCCTCTCCTCGCCCCTGAAGCGCACAAACCACAGTGCCCCCTCCCCTCCCTCCGAGCGCGCACCTCCTGCGGTTATGCCGCGGCATCTGCGAGTTGAATATAGCTTTGTAGTCCTTGAGGTGTGCCCGTGGCGGCGCATAAGGCGGCAACGGCTGGCTGGGCTTGGGCAGCATGGGGTCATAGTCGACTGCGCAGTAGTGCCACTGATGGCGCGCCGGCTTTTTCACCGCCGGCTTGCGGCTGGGTACCAAGCCGCGCCCGCCGGTCGCATAGGTGCGCAGCTGCTGCCAAGAGCCCGGCACAGCACTGCCATCGCTGCCACTGCCGCTGCTGGTGCTGGCGCTCTGCTGCTGCTGCATGGCCGCAGAGGCGCTGGTGTGTGCTGCCGCCATCTCCCCCATGGCGATGTGTGCGGCAGGCATGCAGCACCGATATAAAGTACCCTGAAATTCTGGAGAACCCCAGCCATGGACAAGCAGTTGTGACAGCTGCCGGAGGGCCATCGCGCAGGGGCCTGAGTACTCGTGATCTGCCCGCAGCACTTCTATGGATGGCTTACAAACAATAGTTGCACAAGCACGATCAGTGTTAAGTGCCCGTGTACTAAGCGGAATGGACCTGCACCTCTGTAGAGGTCTGTTGATATCAGTCTGGTTTCGTTGGCTACTATTGTTGCAGCTACAACAGGCAATAAGTGTGGCTGGTCACTCCGATGCACGGACAGGCTTCACCACCATCTCTGCCTGCTGTCGACTGCAGCAGGGCACCACCACTGCAACCCGTGCATGCAACCAGGAATGCATACCTGCCCAAGCTGCAAGCAGGCACGCACGTGTACCAGTCCTGATGGACATGCCTGTGCAAGCCACGTAATGTACAGTGAAATTACGTCACACACGTGAAGGGCGGACGCTGAGCGAGCATGCAAGTGGCCAACTCTTGCGCGCGGGATGCGTCGGCAAGCCTGGGGGCCTGAGGCTGCCATCTTGGATGGCAATGGCAGATGGCTCCCAGCCCAGCAGGGGGCGGTTCACAATTATGATGAGTGCAAAGTTGTGAGCCTATGTGCCTCAGTCATATGATACGGCAGTAGACCCGTATGATGAACCAGAACGCAGAAATTGCAAGGAAGTGTCGCTTTGCAAGGAAGTGTCGGTTCAGTCATAAGATAAAACAACAGCCTAAGGACGCACACAGGTGACAAAAGTCACCTGAGAAATTCTCACAATAAGTGGTTATTTTTGCGCCATTTTGGATGGCCCAAGGGCTTTTGGGGCCAAGGCGCTGCAGTACGGTCGTTAGATCGGGTCGCGCATGCCCTCAGCCTCTCCTATCTCAGCTATTCCCGACCGCCCAGCTCCAGCGCAGTAGACAGTCCGCGAATATGCGCCCTGCCCGCTGGTCTCTCAGATGCCACTCTCTTGCAGAAGACCCCTGCAGCACGCCCCTGCAAGGCCGCATGCGCCCTGCCCGAGGCTTTCTGCCCCTCTGACGACTCGCTTAGTGCTCGGAGTGGTCGTATTCATAGTATATGAAGAGCTGCCTGAACTTCAGCAGGCCAGCCACGACCGCCGCCGCCAGGGCGCCCGCGGTCCCCGCCTTGGCGCAGAACGGCGACAGCAGCGGCGCCGCGCCCGTCACGGCGGCCGCGACGACGGCGCCGAGCGAGACGGCGGCCGCGGCGGCGAGGACGCCGATGGCGATGTTGATGTTGCGTAGGGCCGCCAGGCAGTGGGGGCAGTTCTTGGTGTGCTGCTCGTACCTGGGCGGGGCATCGACGGTTGCGACAAGCGGCGGCGGTTGATCACATGATTGGCAAACTGCGCCCCAAGGCCGCCAGCTTCAGGTATTGTTGGTGATTTTGGCGAGAAACGGAAAGCAGCTGGCAGCCCTGTAAGCGGCCACGAACCAAAGCGCCTGTGCTCGCGACGTCCAGCTGCGCCCCACCTCCGAGCTGGCTGCCTGGCTCGGTCCCTGCCCGCGCACCGCGCCTACCTGTTGAACATCTCGCGTTTGGGCAGGACCGGCCCCAGGTCGGCCGCCGAGCGCGGCAGCACAGGCAGGGCGCCGCCGTAATCGTCCAGCCACCGCCGCCACCCGATGACGCCCGCGTCGATCTGCATGGAGGAGGCGCGGCGTGGGCGCGGACGCGGGCGGGTGGAACAGTGGCGCCCGACGCCCATACAGCTCTTGTGGGGTTGAAACGGCGCTCACATGCCGAGGCAAGTGCAGCAAGCAGGGGGCGCCGTGCAGCGCACAAGCGGGCGCGCGGCGCGGCTCGCTTCGGCGCAGTGCGGTCGCGGGGATGCGTGAATGGGCGCTGCGCACTGCTCCTGGCATGTAGTACTGCTTGCGCCATGACTCGTGGGACCCCTGCTTGTACAGCCGGCGCTCCCTGAGGGGCGGGGCGGGGCATGGCAAGTGGATTGGGTGGATGCGGCGCGCTGGGTCACAGGCGGATCCAGCTTGTGGAAGTGTGGGGGGGTGCAAACCTGGTTCTTCAGCATGCGTCGGGGTCGGGGCAAGCTTGATTTGTGTCCAGCCGTGTGAGGCTGCGCCAGCAGCTGCCATGAGGCGCCCCGGTGAAGCACCTGAGCCGTTCGGGCCGTGCACGCTTCTGCAAACCCCCTGACGTCGCCCGCCACATCGGCAAGGAAGATGCTCCTCCGGGCCGTGCAAGCCCCTCCCCAGAGGCGCGCCTCTTCCCCCCTGCAACTCACGCCTTGTGCAGGAAGTAGTCGTCGCCGTCCAGAATGTGGTTGTCCTGGGGTCGCAGGGCGCGAGGAATCGCACGCGCAGCGTAAGAGCCGCTTGAGGCAAGGCGCGGGGGGGCCGGCAAATCAACGCAGCAGCCGCGCGTGCGCAGGCGCAGGTGCAAGGGCGCGGGGGCGCCCATGTAAAGCGGCGGCGGTTGGCTGCTGAAGTGTAGTGAGTTCCAGAGAGACGCGCCGATGAGGGGCACGACTCACGATGATGGTCAGGTCCCAAACAGGCCAGGTTCAAAAAGGAGGACAGGCACGGGGCGGCACCCCCTGAAGGTGCCGCACATTGGCCCGCACGTCCCCAATGAGCAAGCATTGGTGATTTGGCGGACCCACAGGCCTCCCATCACCCACCCCACCTGCATTGCGTGCTGCAGGAACGGCAGCGCGTTCATGATGTCCATCCACACCAGGAAAAAAGCGGGCATCGGCCCCATGGGCACCTTTGCATTGGGGGCGTCCTTGCTGCGGATGAGGTTTGAGAACACGCGGGTCCAGCCGATGCGCGTGGGGGTGGCAAACAAGATCAGGTGGATGTCACTGGAGAAGCGCCATCTGTCGAGGGCGGTTTGCGTTTTTGTGTTGGGGAAATAGGGATCGGGCGTTGTTAAGGGTTGCCCGAAGGTGATGGCACGGAATATATAGGGTAGCCACGCTGCGAAGGGGCGCCAGGGGACGGGGCGTCTGAGCTGCCGACGACACTGCCCCATGCGGCGCGACGCAGTGCCCGCGAGACCCCGCAAAGGGCTGGGCGGCGAACAACGGCAACAGGGACAGGGGCGCTCCGCGTCGCCGCACCTGGAGCTTCCGGGCGGCGCGAACGTGAGGGTCTCCGTGCGCTGCCCGGGGCCGCTGTAGGCCGCTGTGAAGCCGCCCTTGCAGGTGATGTCACCAACAATGGAGGCCGCGGCCTCAGCAGGAGCGCCGCGGTCGCCCTGGGCACGTGTGTGTGCGACGGGGGTGGGCTTGGGGGCGCGCCGTTTGACGGGGTGGGGCGCAAGAGGCGGATATGCGGCCTTGCAGCTGCGTTTGCGGATGGAGACATCAACAAGGCCAAGAAGGGCAGGCATAGGGGTCATATGATGTCGCCTGTCAAACAGCAGCGCGCACTGCACGCGTCACGGCGGCCGGGTGCTGCGTGGCGTCACCCCTGACTTACGATGACGCCGTGGTGGCTGAACTGGACGTGGGAGGGGTCCACAAGGTTCTCAATCAGAGTGTCAAACGACACCGCCACGTCACTGGCGGTTGACAGGTAGAATTTGTGCGATGTTCACGCAGTCCTGACACACTCTAACCCTGTTGACGCTAATACTATCAGCAGGGCGCTCGGTGTCTGCACCCCGACAGCTCAAGACACCAAAACTATCGCTAGCCCCGCGAGGCCCGACGCCTAGCCACGCTGGTTGCAGACTGAGCGACCTCACGCCAGCGCTGCCTGCCCCCCTCGATATGCCGTCTGATGCCTCCTCACCGCTGGAACCACGTGCCCCGGGGCACCCAGTCGCCACTCAGCAGGTCTGGCGGCACGCTGGCGGGGGCTGTGGCGGCGGACTCGATCCACGCAGTGGGGCCGGCCTCGGCCCAGACCCATAGGGTGCCTAACAGCTCCTACAAATGGCACATGGGTTGGAAAGCATAAAGGCGCAGTAACAGAGCGTGCTGCTTGCGCGAAGGACGGCAGGCTCGAGCGTGCACCGCTACTCAAGTATGCAGGAGTCTCAGAAGAACACCGCGTGCATGGCGGGGGCCTGAGGCGCATCCCGTCCCCGTCCGCCGGAGGCAGTCCACAGAGCGCGGCGCCACGCAAATGGGTGCCGGCGTGCCTGCGACGGGTAGTGCTTGGCGCAGGCGCGGGCGCTGGCGGTGGCGGTGGCGAGGGCCTTGGGGTCTGCCATCTGGGGGATGCTCTTGCAGGCGCCCTTGCCGTCAAAGGTCCAGCCGTGGTAGCTGCGGGGAGGTGGGGGCGGGGGAGAGACCGGGTCGGCGGGCGGTGTTGAGTGGGCGGTCAAGGATTGTGATAGTTCTAGTGGGTGTTTTGTTGGTGGGAGTGGGGTTGTGCAAAAGGCCGCCGCGGCTGGTTGTGTGCAGCGTAACTCCAGTGACGCATTCCCCCTGTTGTGGTGGGCACACATTCGATGTGGGTCTGCAAGTGGGCCGAGGGCATGATACACCTTTGGCTGTCATTGGGCAGCTGCTCGCCCCGTGGCAGGCGGCTGATCCAAGTGTGGCCACCACTCAGGGGGTGTTCCGCGCCCACCCACCTGCACATGAGGGTGCCGTCGCCGTGCAGGCGCCCTTCACTCAGAGGCGCCAGGCGGTGGGGGCACGCGTCCTGTGGGAAGATGGAGGCAACAGCGTCACTCAGGCGTAGCGGGCTGACGGCAGCTGACCAATTGCGTCAACCTACTACGTCACGAGCGATAAATTAAACCCGCGAAACGCTTCGTCACACACATTCACCCCCAAAAGGCAGGCGGGGTGTGGCGCCCCACAGCGCACCTCGAGCACGCTCCAGTCGCCCTCTGGGGTGCGCCAGGCGACGAGGTCCAAGCCCAGGAGCTGCAGCGCGTTGGGCTTGTCGGGCTGCAGGCTCTCCAGCAGGGCCGCAGGGTACCTGTGAGCCGCAGGACCGCGACGCGCATATTGCACACTGCACAATGCCACAGACAGCGTACATCACCTGTGAATGACGCCGGCTGGAGCTAGGGCTGGCCGGCCGCCGGACAGAATTCAAAGCTGTTGAGAGGAGATATATGAGAAACTTGCAGCTGTCAGCATTCGTGTCTGTGACAACAGTGCTTCTGGAGCCTCACCAGTTCTTGTACCAGTTGAACTGCTCTGGCTGCTTGGCGGCCCGCTGTGGCTCCCCCACGGTCACCGGCGACTCCACTGCGCTTGCATGTGCATGCGCATATGCATGTGAATGAGCAAGTGCATGCAGCACGCCGGGCGCGGGCTCGAATGCGAGGGTTCTAGCCCTGCCTTGAGAGGGCGGGGAAGCGTGTCGCAGTGAACTTGCGTGGTGTCCGTGTCACGCACCAGCTCAGGCACGCGACTGCCCCTCACCTGCGGCGGTCTTGGGCGTCTGCACCAGCATGCGCGCACTCCACCTTATGCCGTTGTTGGACCCCCGCGCCGCTGCAGCGCCACAGCCGTGCCAGGCAGAACGACGAGCACCGCCAGTGCACATCAGTGGGGCGACCCGTGGCGCGGCTGGGGCATGGCCGGCCTTGCTCGCACCAATCCTAACTCGCATGTACATGGATGCCATGATTGCAGTGGAGGTGATAATGCGGGCTGTACAAACACCGATGGGGAATCGGGATGACACTAGCTAGCACGCCTTTCAAGTATGTACGCGGACGTCAGCGAGGCTTGATATCATAACAACGCCGTCAAGCAATCCAGCGTGCCTAGGGCACTTCACACCTGGAGTGCAATTCGTCCTTACAGTCCCTCGAGCACCTGGTGCGCGTGCCGTGTGCTGCTGCGCGCGGCCAGTTGCGGGTGACCTGCAGCGCTGTGTTGTGGCGGCGCGCTCCCTGCTGTGGTTGTGTGCTCCCGCAGCCACCAGCCTGTGTGTGACACCGCTATTTTTACCCCGCACGCGCCTGCGCACCCCCCCTGACCTAGGAAAGAAAGATGCTGTGCCAAGCCTGCGTGCGCTCGCGCTCCGCCCTGGCGCGACTGCGCAGCTGCCGGCAAGGGAGCTGGGCCTGCGGGCTGGCCTCGGCACAGCTTCGCAACCAGCGCCACTAACCTGGCAGCCAATGTCAACCATTGCGCTGAGTGCAGCACTAACCGACTGAATATATGAGATTCGTGTGCACTTGCTTGTCTGGAACTGCCGCAGCGACAGCAGCTCAACAGCTTGGGCCAATCGCACATCGGAATGCATCACGCGGTACTGCACATCTCACGAAATCGCCATGCGCATGATGGTGCAAAATCAGCAGCCACAGAGTGCACACTGACGCGCCCTGCAGGGTTTCAAGCGCACTATTTTGCAGCCACAGCGATGATGCATGGAGGTTGGTGTTCAACAGTGAGGCTGCCGCTCTGCGGTTGGGAATGGCAGGACACCATTCGAGGCAAGGGTGAAGCCCTTCTGCAGCGCATTGCTTCCCCGCATATGCTCTGCATTCAATCCACGATCACTCACTCTGTATTGGGCCATGATTTGCCACCCCTTGCCCCCACAATAAATGTCGTCTCCTATGGTTCACGTTGGCGGCCTACACCACTGTGTGCAGGGAGGCCCCAACCAACTATCGGGCCGATGGTGGCGCAGCATTGCAAGGCTGCAAAGGACTGCGCACAGGACACAGAGCGAGTGATTTCCGCCAGCCAAGCCAAAGGATGCTGCCTGTGTGCCATTGGTCACGTCGCAGACAGCGGCGCACGCCGGATCGCATCGCAAGAGGCTGCGTCCAGCAAAAGCAGGTCGAGGGCAGGCAGCAAATCCAGCTGCGTGCAGTGAAGTGACGAGATTCTCAACCTTCTGTATGTTACATGCAACACAATGGGGTTTGCGGGTGATGCTGCTCGCAAGGAGCAGCCATAGAATCTTGAGTACAAGCAGATGTCAAGACAAGTGCGGGGCTGGACAGGCAATGCAGCCCTCTCAACAACATACGGTGCAATGGTTGTGCGACCAAAGCAACCCTGGTATCCCATCGAATTTGAAGGGCAACATAGGGCGATATCTCTTCAGCCAACACAGGGCCTGGACGCAGGGCCCTGCTGATAATCACAGCAGGCAGACCGCGCGGTACTTGGACGCACGACGTCGCAAGGCGGGGTGTCGATGCGCGTCAAAGCACGGCTGGTGGAGGGACAAATGTCACTCGGAAGCAAGTCGGTGTGAATAAGAAGCAAGGTGTGAGGCGCCAGTGCACGCGGGCGCCTTGCCAATTGTGCAGCGTGTCCCAGGCCTCGGAGGCCGTACTAGCACCCACACACCATCCCAGCATACCAACATTGGTTGCACTCCACTCTGGTTTTCGTCTCTTGCTCCCTTGCCGATCAGCCAGAGGCAGGGCTGGCAAGCGGCCAACCCACCACGCATCTGCATGGCAGCCCCTGGCTGATTTTGCAGCGTGGGACCAGGATTGACCAACTGTCTGACAAAGTGTTCAGTGCTCGGAGTGGTCGTACTCGTAGTAAATGAAGAGCTGCCTGAACTTCAGCAGGCCAGCCACGACCGCCGCCGCCACAGCGCCCGCAGCTCCCGCCTTGGCGCAGAACGGCGACAGCAGCGGCGCCGCCCCCGTCACAGCGGCCGCGACGACCGCGCCGAGCGAGACGGCGGCCACGGCGGCGAGGACGCCGATCGCAATGTTGATGTTGCGTAGGGCCACCAGGCAGTGGGGGCAGTCCTTGGTGTGCTGCTCGTACCTGGAAGAAGATCATGTTGGAGAGCGTTGTAATGTAAGAGGGGTTGCATGACAGGGCCCACAAGTGAAGACAGGCCACCGGTGCAGATGGCTTTTTGAGTTGGGGCAGCAGAGACGCAGGAGTGCACCGGTCATCCAAAGTCACACTGGACATGGTCAGTAGCCAGAGCCCAGAGCATTCCGCGGCGTGCGCTGGCAACTGTGCAACTTGATCAGCAGCTCAGGAATCTCTGCAGATGCCACATGCCCCCAACCTGTCAAACATCTCGCGTTTGGGCAGGACCGGCCCCAGGTCGGCCGCCGAGCGCGGCAGGACAGGCAGGGCGCTGCCAAAATCGTCCAGCCACCGCCGCCACCCGATGACGCCCGCGTCGACCTGCAAGGAAGAGGCGCGGGCAGATATGCAGATGAGGTCTGGCGTCCCAAGACCTCCGAGCACAGTTGTTTTTGACGCTTGGTTGGAGAGCCGCAATGGAAGGCGCACGGGCAGAGCCACCAAGCAATTCTTGCAAGGTTCTGCCAAGCAGTTCAATCAGAGTGCACCGCCAAGACTGAAGCGGGGCACTGGCTGCATCAGTGGGCGCTGCGCACCGATCCGGGCATGTAGTACTGCTTGGGCCATGACTCATGGGACCCCTGCTTGTACAGCCGGCGCTCCCTGGGTGCGGGGGAGGGGGGGAGAGCGCGGGTGAATTGGGTGATTGCGGCACGCTGGGTCAACGCAGATCCAGCTTGTGCAAGGTCTCGAACACATTTCATCACTCCAAACATGCTGAATGGAGGGACGAGACCTGGTTGGATGGCCGGCATAACTGAGCTGCCCAGCCGTGCGCAAGACCAATCGCCTCGCTGGCCTGCCTTCTCAAGCTGCGCGTGCCTGATGCATGGACACCCTCATCCCGCTTCCTGGAAGCAAAACCACAATGACTCACGCCTTATGCAGAAAATAGTCATCACCATCCAGGATTTTGTTGTGCTGGGGTGGCAGGTAGCAATGGCCAAGGAGAGCGCAAGAGTCAGATGTGCACACGTGAGGGTGGCACAGGCGCAGTGGAAGCGGGATGGTATCAGCGGGGAACACAATAAGAGAGGAGAAAGAGATCTAAGGGGTTAGTGGAGACGGTGCCTTCAGGCCCACGTGGGGCATCAAGCGCAGGAAAGGCAGCTGGCTGCTCCACTCGGTGGTACGGCAAACAAGCCTGCGAATTTGTGCCCGAGGGCGCGCGCTGCGGATGTGCGCCCTGGCTACGCAGCGCTTGGCAGCCCTGTCTGTCCCACCTGCAGCGGGTGCTGCAGCCACGGCACCGAGTCGATGACCGTGATCATGATCCGCACAAACAGGGGCAGCTGGTCGTTGGGCGGCCGCTTGTTGGGGCTGTTCTTGTCGCCGATCATGTTGACAAACACGCGGGTCCAGCCGACGCGCGTGGGGGTGGCGAACAGCTGGAGGTGGACGTCACCAGGAAAGTGCCACCTGTCGAGGGCAGGGCACGAACGTCGTTGCAAGGCGGATGTTACTGTGTCGTATTGCAGGGTGTGATGAAAGGGCCATGAGACGACTTGCTGTGACCGGCAGTACATGTCTGTACAACGCAAGCGATGCATGCTTCACGATCGACGTGCACCCAGACAAGGAAGCAGGGCATGCGCGATGCACGGCCAGCCTTACCTCAGCTGCACCTACAAAACTGGCCAGCTAGCGAACAAACAGGAATAGCAGACTGAAACGTTCCCCGGCCCCACCTTGAGCTGCTGGGGGGTGAAAACACAACATTCTCAACGCGCTGCCCGATGCCGTTGTAGCCCACTGTGAAGCCGCCCTTGCATGTGATGTCGCCGACGATGGAGGCGGCTGCCTGAGCGGGGGCGCCGCGGTCGCCCTGCGCAATGCAATGTTGTGGTGCTGGGAGTGAGGAGAAACGAAATGTGTTGCAGGGTAGCCAGCGCAGTGCTTGCACTGGAGTGCTTGCGGGTCAGCCGGAAGAGGCAATGACAGAGGCAGTGGCTTTGAACAGACGAAGCGGTGTACAGCTTTGCTTGCCATTGATGCGGGGTCCAGATAAAGTCAAGAAAAAAACTGTGATGGTCGAGTTGCTGAGTGTCACATGGCGTCACCCCTGACTCACGATGACGCCGTGGTGGCTGAACTGGACGTGGGAGGGGTCCACGACGTTCTCGACCAGCGTGTCAAATGAGACCGGCACGTCCCTGCGCAGGCACATTGCAAGCAGTGAGAGGCGTGCATGTGGCGCTCCCATGTTTGAAGCACCTCGGCTTTATCACAACCGCAGGGTTGCCAGCGGAAGTGAAGTCTGCATATATATGTAGAGAAACCCTGCACCTGCATGGGCGGATGGCGGCCAGATCATGCTGCCCAAAACGCATCAAGCAACACTCCCCCCCCCAAAATCCAGCCGGCCGCATGCTAGCGCCTCCGCCTGGCCCTCGTCCCATAACCCCGTGCCTCCGAGCTGCTCACCGCTGGAACCAGGTGCCCTTGGGGACCCAGTCGCCGCTCAGCAGGTCTGGGGCCAGGCTGGTGGGGGTCGTGGCGGCGGACTCGATCCACGCCGTGGGGCCGGCCTCGGCCCAGACCCACAGGATCCCAAACAGCTCCTGCAAAAGGCGCGCGATTGCACGGGTACGGAGGCGCGTTAGGGGTTGATGGTTCAGGGGAAGGCATGGTGCAGGCAAACGCAGCAGACAAGGGTCGCAACGGACTGTAACTGCAAGGCAGAGCGTCGCGTTTGAGACAGCATACTGCTAGCAGTGGGCTCTCTCCTCGCACGTGCCCTCACGCCCTCAACGGTGCTGCCATCACGCCGTACATAGCGGCGCTGGGCGCCTTGCCTGCGAGGGGTAGCGCTTGACGCAGGCTCGGGCACTGCCCGTGGCGGTGGCGAGGGCCTTGGGGTCTGCCATCTGGGGGATGCTCTTGCAGGCGCCCTTGCCGTCAAAGGTCCAGCCGTGGTAGCTGGAGGGAGTTGGGGGCGGGGCCGGGGCCGTTAATCGGTGGTGGTGGTGATCAAACGAGTACGCATGTGGGGGGGCGGCAGTGGCATGCTCTGTTTCGACGCAAGCAAAAGCACAGCCCGTGGAGTGCGGGGCGTGAAGGGCAAGCTTCCGCCACCAGGCAATCCACCAGGCAATCCTGAGCCACCCACCTGCACATGAGGGTGCCGTCGCTGTGCAGGCGCCCTTCACTCAGAGGCGCCAGACGGTGGGGGCATGCGTCCTGTGTGTGTGTGTGGGGGGGGGGGCAACGGCGTCTGTCAGTTGCAGCGCGCTGATGGCAGGTGACCCAGCGCACAAACGGGCCCGCATCCCCCTGATAGAGGGTGCACATGGCGACGCGCACCCGCCCAGGGGTTGGCACACAGCTGCCCCTGCAGGCCCAACAGGCCCAACAGGCCCAACAGGCCGGGATGCAGGCCAACCTCACCTCGAGCACGCTCCACTCGCCCTCTGGGGTGCGCCAGGCGACGAGGTCCAAGCCCAGGAGCTGCAGCGCGTTGGGCTTGTCGGGCTGCAGGCTCTCCAGCAGGGCCGCAGGGTACCTGCGAGCGGCAGGACCGCGACGCGGGGGGGGGGGGGCGCGCGAGAATGTCAGCAGTGCAGCTGTTTTTTGTGCCAGGGCACAAGGATCAGAGGGCGGCACTTGCCTTGCTGGGGTTCACTGGTGTGCCTAAAGAGCTTCTGCACCAATGTGACAAATGCCGGGGAGATTGCACCAGCAGCGGCAACGACCACATGTGAGGTGGGCCTCACCAGTTCTTGTACCAGTTGAACTGCTCCGGCTGCTTGGGCGCGGGGAGCGGCTCCGCCACAATCGCTGGCGACTCCACTGCAAGGGATTGCGCGTGGGCATGCACGTCAAGATCACTGCTAAGAACTTTGAACAGGCTGGATGTCAGCCTGGGGGTTTTTGATAGTGCCTTCAGCACCGCCCCTCCCATGATGACGACACAAAGGGCGGGAAATCGGCATCCATCTCCCAGCACCATCTGAGGCCCGCGAACGACCCTCACCTGCAGCCGTCTTGGGTGTTTGCACCAGCCTGCGCACGGCGGCTCCTGCCCCATTGTAGGATGGCCGGGTGATTGCCGGGGCGCAGCGCCGCGCAGCAGCAGCGCCCAGGGCCACACGCGGCGCCGCCGGAGTGCGGCTTGCCTGCACCCGTTGCCGGATGTCAATGCTGGCACGCATTTGAATGTTCTTGTAGTATAGTATGTTGTTGACGCTTCGGCCGGTGAGCCCAACACCGAACAATCCGACCTTGAGACCTTCGTCTGTTCGCAGACCGCAGGGTGAATGACGCAGGCTGTACTGGTATCTCCGCTTGTAGGAATTTTATGGTTCACTGGCTCACAGCCGCCTCACTTTCACCAGCTTACTGGACCAATCCGTCACCCGGTGTGTGTCGTAATCACTTCAGCGTATTGTCAGCAGCCAGACGCAGCCAGGTTCGCAGTAGCATCAAGGACGGCAGGTGCTGGATTCATGTTGAAAGTTTTTCTCTTTTTGCCAGGTTGCAGGTTCTGAGCCACCCCACATATCCCAACATAGCACAGCACAGCACACACAGCACGCACAGCACAGACCAAAACACCAACGAACCAGGTGGATCGGCCGCTCACATCAACACCTCTGGTTAGTCAGCCGCCAACTGGGATAATCTCATTCTATTTGCGCTCATTGCTGACACATCTACTAGGGATTAGCTAGCTGCTGACATCCGCCTGCGTGCGCTGGCATCTTCACATACTAGCAAGCGATGCCAAGCGCACAAATGTTGCGAACTGTGCGTGTGCATGGTGCGTCCTGTCATGCGCGACTCAGGCTTTCGGCTGGTCAATGCGCATCCTGTCCTCTGGCATCTGACATGAGCTTGATGAGGGCCTCACCCGTCCCGCAACAATGCAGTCCGCACGTACTCAGCTGCATCGTGGCACGAGCGCTCGGGCTCCTCGGAGCTCATTACCGCATGGCTGCATGTATGTGTGCAGGAATGCAACCAAAGTACAGGCCGTCAGCATCGCGCTTGTAGCAGGAGGCAGTGGCTGTGCAACCAGACAGGCACGCATCTCGATCGCAGTTGCAATCGCATCCTGCTGCTGTTCTGCATGGCGCCGGCAGCTTACATACGTTAGCTTGTTGCGGTAGCCTACACTGGTAGAGGTATCATGTGATGTGCAGCTAGCATGTGCCAGGGCTTGGTGAAACTGCTCATGAAGAAGCTGCGTCAGATCACATAAGGCCTTGTGTCTCAGTCTGCTCTCACTATGCGAAGTGGGACGACTGCCAGCACTTCTACGAGACTTGCGTATCGATACACGGCAAATTTGTGCGCTACCGTGCCTCATCAATCGTGTCGTGGCTCCACCTCCTTTCAAAAGCAGGCTATCCGCCTACTATTTCGCGTCTGCCACGCTTTACGATGCAGACGCGGTCCAAACAGCAGCGGCTCGTGTCGCAAGCGGCGGCAGCGCGTGTCAGTGCTGGCGTCGTGCCGTGCTCATGGCAGAGCGTCGACGAGGGCGTCTTCGGGCACATCTTGGAGCAGGTCAGAAGGTTGTTACAGCTTATAATTGCCAGTTGGGGCTGTGCGGATGCATGGGCAGGGAGCAAGGATACCGCGACGCACAGCAAAGCACACTTGTCGTCGGCGTTTGAGCGCCAGGTGCACGGCCGCCCCCAGATCTGCCGAAAACAGCAGCAGCCTTCTCAGCCAGCATCTGAAGGGCCAGCTTCAGCCGCACTCTGGCCGCCTAAATTGCCACCACCGCCGCAATCACCTCCGCCGTCACCGCCCTCAATCATGGCCCCCACCCCCACCCCCCTCTTCACACACCCCCGACCCCCGACCCGCGGCCCGCTCCCCCGCCGCCGCCAGGCGCGCCTGCCGCGCCGCGAGGTCGTCCGGCTGGGCGGCGTCTGCCAGAGCTGGCGGCGCGCGGTGTGGTCCGCCACCACCAGCCTCACGGTGGTCGCGCGGATGGACGGCCTCAACCTGCCCGGGTGAGCGCGGGCGCATCGTCGCGCCTTGCTCTGGTCTAGCTCGTGGCTGCACAATTCAACATGCTGCCATCACAAGGGATCCATGCTACTTTTGGCGTGCGCCTGATTCCATGTGCAGCCGCCTGCCGAGTACGGCTCCGCTGGTTGTGGAGCGGACGGCCCTGTCGCCTGTTTGGCTCTCGAGCGAGTGAGTCCCTGCATCCACCTGGCACAGGGACGAGTCCGGCCTCGTGCCCTGGCTGACGAGCCGCCTCCGCGCCGCGCCGCGGCTGCGGTGCCTGCGCGTCTGCTGCGGCTTCAACCTGGTCGCGGCGGTGATGGCGGCGGCGACGGCGCATGCGCGAGGGCTGACGACGCTGGAGCTTTCCTTTTACGTGGGCGAGGGCGTCCAAGGTGGGGGCGTGCGGCGGGCGTGACCTGCGCTTTGTCGGCAGTTGCCCCGGCAAGGGCACTCGCGATTGCTCGACTCTGGGCTGTCCGGGACATTCGTCGCCCGTGTGCGGCGCGGGCAGCATGCCTGAACATGTTGGGTGCGCCCCATTTCCCTGCTGCTGGAGCCGCCGCACATGGTTGCCCACCCCGCTTCTGCTGCCCCAGCACCGCGCTGCCCCCGCGCACCGCCCTGCGTCGCAGGGCCGCTGCCTGCATCCGCGCTGCTGGGACTTACGAAGCTGCGGTCCCTCAGGGCTCTGGCGCTGGGCACGGGCGGCGACACCGCGCAGCCGCACATCACAAAGCTCTCAGCCCTGAAGCAGCTGACACGCCTCGAGATGCCCTATGCACAGGTGCGTGCGTGCGTGCTCGGGAGGCCTGACCCCATGCATGCCTGTGCGGTTGTCACATGCTCATGCTTCTGCATTCATGCACTCAATGTCGTGGAGCTTCGGCCAATTATGTTTTGCTGTGCCTCGACGCACAGGCGGCTGCCCCAAGCCTGCAAACCCGGGCATGCCCCTTTCCTGCTCACGCATGCCATCGCCATGCTCCTCCTGAGCGGCCTGCGACGCCCCCCCCCCCACCACAACCACCATCCGTCTCTCCCTCCCGCCGCGGACGCATCCACACGCCGCCCCACCCTTGTCC